GTGACGCTTTGGAATTTCCCAGCTTATCTACACTTGGGTATTTATAAATATTTAGCGTATACTTTGATTTAGAAGTTTCTTCATAAATTTACAGAAACGATAGCCGTTCATTTTGTGCTAGTACGGGACAATATCGAAAAAAATGAGACGAGTTACAAAATTCAGCGTCGCCCAAGCGTGCAGACAACAACAAACAAAATGGCGGCCCGGCGGCCAACTTCAGAAACGAGTTACAAACTACGAGAAATGCGGCATAAATCTGCTTAATTTCGAGGTAGAAATCTAGGTAGAAATACAATCAAATGTTAAGCGTCATTTGTACTACAAAATGTAAAAGCGTTAATAGCGTGCTACGACTAAGACGAATCGAAAATTCGGGAACCAAGCGCCGAGTGAAAAAAATGGCGTCACAAGTTTTTCGAAAATTGCGAGTCAACTTTTGCGGCAAAAAATACGATTAAACGTTACTGTTTAAAGGCTATAGTGTCTGTAGAACTTTCTCGAGGGCGTCATGGATTCCATTACGCTCCAATCCTAGGTCGAAGACGCCAGGTTTCGCTGTAAGCTCGTCTGCGGCGCCGGACATGTAGCGGCGTGCAGCGGCATGGAGCTTGGGGCGGCGGTGCCGCACGCAACACAAGCGTGCGTAATTACGAACTTTCTGAAGTCACCGCGCCGCTACAGTACTTTGTAGTATTATTTACTTCCAGACACCATCGGCGTGCCTGTTTTGTTTTTCTTTGTAAAAATCGATTTTCGCTGGCGTAAACTGTTCTTTTTTTTTATTTTACTTAAAAAAAAAGGCCAGCGTTTTAATGTATTTTTTTACACACATCAGCCATGTTCACACCGCTATAATTAAGTGACGTGAGGTTGTCCATTTTTCGCCGACCGCTATAATTTCCAACCGCATTTTTAAATGGATTTACAGTATCAGCTGCATTCCATGATAGGACTATTCAAGCTTGTGATATATGTAATGCAGAACGGCAGAAATACAGGCAGATATCGATTATGCAAATGAAGACTCAATTTGCATAATTAACGAGAAAATGTTATA